GTTGCCTAGTAGGAAAATCATACATTCTCCCAGATAAATGCAGCCTCATTCTTTATGCCTGATTAGCATCTTGAAGGTAGTTGTCACAATGAGAAGTGCTCTCCAATGCCTGGTTTATTAGATTTCTTGTGTTCCTTTACAGAGCTAAAAATGAAATTGTGAACTCCAGTGGTGCTTATAAATAATTTGGACAGAGCTAAAACTGAGCATGAAAAATGGTACTCTCATATTCTCTAAGTGATAGGAGGGAGATGAGTAGCTGTAACATTTCACTTCGGTAGACACATACCATGCATTTGTGGAATTGCAGTACTTTACATTGTTCAGAGAAACATAAAAGGAAAGCTAAAATAACAGATATTCTTCCTATAACACTTAAGCTGTCAAGTATCTTATTAACTACTTTCTTTTGGTTTTTGACAAACACCACTGTGTCGATCACCTTCCAGGAGGGTGGTCCTGTTAATTCAGATTCAGCAAGAACAACAGCCATTCTGTTGCAGAATGGCAGTCTTGGCAATTTGCCATTTCTGAATGGCAGTGCCAGTGGCAAGTTGCCATTCTCCAACAGAGGAATTTCACAGGGAAACTCTAGTGTGTAGTGGGTAAATAATAACTAATGACAAGAGTTATCAGTCTATATAAAAAAAAATTCCACTACAGTACAGATGTGAATTTATTAGTAATGCTAAGATGATTGTGTTGGAACCAATTGCTGCTGTTATTAATGGTCACTATACTTGTTTTGCATATATTTAAACTCTTAATTGAATCGTTACAAGCTACTTCTTGCATTTCATTGCCATTTAACTCCACCTTTTGCAGGCTTTTTCTCCCTTCATGCCAACAAGCTTCTGATGAATTGGATTCTAGTCCAGGAAAACTTGTTCTATGATAAATTTGTTAGCCTTTAAAGTACCATAAAACTCTTTGTTGTTTCTGTGTTGATCGTATACTTTAATAGGCTTTCTCTTCACTGTTTATGTGTTGAACTGCAATTAGTATTGATGCTGTGTAATTGGAATAACCACAGATTCACCCTCTCCATCAATTGTTGTTCAGTTGCTTTTTACACATTTTTTTTTTCTGGTGCCCCTAATACAACTAGAGCAATTCATATATGGAAGGAAGCTTCTTGGTAGCATCTAAAACACAGCTACTTAGCAGTGGCTACATTTCTTAATCCTGTGATAGCTTGAGGTTAGGGGTTTGCACAATGAATTCACAAGATAAATGAATAGTTCTGCATGTGCATAAAGTACTGACTCTTGTGCAAACAACCAGAGTAGAAGCAGTTCAATGCAGGCTGTAGATTGGGAGATTTGACTAACACCTGTCATTCCTGCCCCTCATTTACTTTAGAGATCTGAAAAATTGGGTGCCCTGTGACACTGTAGCCATTTCACGTTATAAAGATGAGCTGGTCCCATTCCCACATTTTCTGTATGATCACAGGTCTTGCTTATTTCATTCATGATCCTGAAGACATAGTCTTATGCAGTTTCTATGCCCTCTTTCACACCGCCATCCAAACACATATCCATGGCCAGGTCTTCAGTTGCCGTTCTGCTCCCTGCCTCCCAATTATGCATGATCAGATGGGTGATTATTTCTTCAGCCATTTTGTCATACTCATAATTGTAGTGGTTTAAATGGAAACTGTGGATTATTGGTCCAAAATGTATTAAATCTTTATTCTATTGTAACAGCTTGTTATAGGTGTACTATTTCTGTCTCCCATATGTTTTTACACCTTAGAAAAGCATGAAAACCTTTAACCTAGAATTCCCTATTCTTCGAATCTAATGCCCAATATGCATAGAATTTCTTGTATTTTTTGTTATTTGTATCATACGTATATTTCTTCAAAACTGCCACAGTTCTTCCCTTGAAGGAAGAAAGCTGTGGCGCAGAAAGACTTTGATTAAATTCAGAAGTGTATGATCATCTCATCCCAGTTTGTGGGCGAGTTTAATCTTGTCATTCTATTTACACTGAGAAGATAATAAGTCCCCAAAGATGGTAAATATTGCTGGTTTACAAACAAGATAAAAAGGTCTTTTTGCCTGAACCGCCAAACAGAGTACATGAAAGCAGGAAACAATTGAATAGGATTTATGTTAATATTATTGGCAAACCAGAGGAAGCTGATGTTAAATACGAGCTAAAGAACTTCATAGTGCATTCTCAAACTTCAGAAAGTTCCTGCAGTTCTAATCACTTAGATCAAAAGAAGTTTGAGATTGAATGAGTACAAAAAATAATCCTAGAGGGGATGAAGTTTGTATTGCCAGTATAAGTAGGTTAGCAAAACAACAGAAACGGTTATCATTGTTGCTATTATTTCAAACAGTGTTTTATGCTAGATGTAGTATTCATATAAAGTCTACATTAGACAAGCTCAGGAGGAACTTAATTTGTTCCATCGTCAAACTGCTCTTACCCTTCAGAAGTTTCTCCTGTCCAACAGGCTCATCAGATCTAGTCCTCCCTCTTGACTCTCATAGCATTAGAAAAGTGCTGTATTCTGGAAAAGGGTTGTGTTTCAGTTGTAGAGCTTCTGATTTGAATGTGTTAGGCCAAGGTTCAATGCCTGACATCTCTGGATAGGGCTGAGAAAGACCTCTGCTTGAATCCTGGAGAGCTGTGCTAGTCAGTGTAGCCAAAACTGAGCTAAGTTGACCAAGGGTCTTACTCAGTATAAGGCATGATATTCCCCACCAGTCTTTTCTTCTCTGGGCATAACATACCCAGTTCTTCAACTTTTCCTCACAGAACTTGTTTTCCACATCCCTGACCCATCTTCATTGCTCTCTTCTGAACCTATTCCCAGTGCCTTCACCTTTCTTAAAATATGGTACCAAGAACCAGACACAGTATTTTATTTCATTCCCCCCCCAAACCCATTTCATTTCATTTTACTTTTACTTTTACTTTTAATTTGTGTAGTGCCTCTCTAAATTTCTATGCACAAGGCAGTTTAGAGCAACAAAATACACAACAATGAACATAACCTTATAATCTGATCTGATACAGAACATCATAATAAAACATAACTTTAAAATGGAATGACTTACATAAAATAAAGTAATATTCAACAATGTAATGGTTAAGTAATCACTAGTGAAACAAGTGTCTCTGTGTGCATGCAGAGTGCTAATTTTAATTCTGCCAGTTGTTTTACCTCCATTTCTATAGAAATAGAGAAAGGCGGCTGTGGTGATCCTGGGATTCCGTCCTACGGGAAGAGGACCGGCAATAGTTTTCTACACGGAGACACACTTACTTTTGAATGTCAAGCGGCCTTTGAACTTGTGGGAGAGAGAATGATAACGTGCCAACAGAATAACCAGTGGTCCGGCAATAAACCCAGTTGTGTTTGTAAGTTACAATTCATTTTCTTTCTTGACCTTCCATTACCTTTAGAAACAGCATGAAGCATACCATAGGTGGTACGATGGGTCAGTGTGTCTGGCTGTTAACCAAAAGGTTGGTGGTCAAGCCCACCCAGGGATGCTGTGGGCAGGGTTCCTGCGTAGGGGGGTTCGATAAGATGACCCTCAGGACTCCTTTCAGCTTTACAGTTCTCTTATTCTATCACTTAGTTCTATTTTACTATACCTGACCTCTTTCATATATATTCTAGTGCTTTCAATATAATATTTTCTTAATTAAAACATGCCTAAAGGAATTGACCATGCCCTATAGAACATGTATTTAGAGTGGACAATCTTGCAAAATAGTCATAATGAACTTATTGAAGTTGCATAGAGTATTAATTAATTTAGGAATACTGTAGTTGTTTTATAACCAGCATCAAAAGGTGAGAACTATATGCTATGGTGCATTTTTATAACAAATCTTTATTCCTGTTACCTCTGGATTACAGTGCATTCAGTATATTTCATGAGTTGTCTTCTATTCTTAGCAGTATAATAAGGTGCAATCCTAAATCAGACTTCCTTTTCTTGTTACTGAGAATTTGGCAGTCAGATAATGTTAGAGTAGAAATTTATCAAAAGAGTACTAGAAGACAATGGATTTTCATTTCATGCTATTTTGAGAAGTGAATAGAATAGCTGATTTATACTTTATAAGCAAACAAACAAAGTTTTGCTACCTTTGAGTTTTCTCCTTTGCTATTCTCTTTAAAAGATACAGAGTGCTTTGCTGACCAGCATCCTTCTATCATGTTTGCTCACAGTTTATTAACAGGGAGCAAATGCCCTCAGCAGTACATTAATTAAAATGGGTGATGTTAAATGTTAGTTGTACTCAGAGTAGTCCCACTGAAATAAATCAACTTAAATAACTTGTCCATTAATTTGAAAGTGTCTATTCTGAGTAAGATTTTGTTGATTTCACCTAAAAAAATTCATTGAAGATTTTATTAAATATATCACATAACCAAGGAATCTATAAACAGTCATGCAAGGCAAACATTACTAAGTAGAACACTGCTATTTTCCTTAGTAATGTCTACCTTACAAATCTGTTTGGTACAAGGATCTTAGCCAATATATCACTACGTTAACTTGTGTAGAACTAGGAGTGGTCAGCAGTCGCCTGACCTTCCATCTGCTGCATATCTGCTGCTTACCAGGAGGAAAAGGATTGAGATGGTGGTGAGGCCAGCACAGTGCATATGCACCTGCGGACATATCTGATTTACTTCGTCAGTCTGTTTGCACTGTGCTGACCTCACTGCTGCCTCACCCTCCCTTTCTACCTCCTGGTGAGCAGCAGCAAGATGTCAGTTTTCTCAGCAGCAGCTGCCACCACATTTTCTTCTTCTTTGCTTCTTCTAAGAGTGAAATACAAATGGAACACAGGGAGTTTTTCAAGCAGCTTGTAGTGACCATATCCATTCCTTACTGCTAGTCCTTGAATTAATCTCTGTTAGAAAGAGGTCCTTGAAAAAAGCTTACCACTGAAGATAAATAAGTTCTATCACTGTGTTTGTCATGTGGAAGGTATTTAACAAACAAAATGACACACACACACACACACACACACATATATATATATATATACACACGCATACACACACACACACACTAGATATATATGTATATATATATATATATCACTATATATATGTGTGTGTGTATATATATATATATGTATGTGTGTGTGTGTGTGTGTATATATATGTGTGTGTGTGTCTGTGTGTGTGTATATATGTATATGCATATATGTGTGTGTGTGTGTGTGTGTGTGTGTGTGTATTGCTGTTTAGACCTAATAAGGTGCCCTCTCCTCCCAGTTTTGTTTTGTTTAAAAAAAAAAAGACCCCCCAAATGAAAATGTGGCAGCAAAGTCACAACTGCAGGCTTTGTTTTTTAGGTGGGACTTTTCCCCACAACAATGGAAAACATTTCATTTTTCCAGGAGGTATAGCCTAGACATGATGCCTTTTAGAATTTGTATTTTTAACACATGCATCGTTCAAAGTGTTTCATTTTCTCTTTTTTAATAGTCTCATGTTTCTTCAACTTCACAACACCTTCAGGAATTATACTTTCACCAAACTACCCTGAGGAGTATGGAAACAACATGAATTGTGTATGGTTGATAATTTCAGAACCAGGAAGCAGAATACATCTTATTTTCAATGACTTTGATGTAGAGCCTCAGTTTGATTACCTGACAGTGAAGGATGATGGGATTTCTGACTTACCAGCGCTCGGTACTTTTTCTGGCAATGATGTGCCTTCCCAGATAGCTAGCAATGGGCACATAGTACGTCTAGAATTTCAGTCAGATCATTCCACTACAGGAAGAGGATTCAATATATCATACACGAGTAAGTGTGCATTCTCTGAGTTGTATACTAAACACAATGGGCATTATGCGGCTAAGAATAAGCACTTTTAAGAGCTAGGCTTCAGAGAACTGAAGTACATGCTTAACAAACCCAACAAAATAATTAGGGCTTTAAAAGCACTTGACTTTGACTGCACAATGTCTTTCAGAAATGTCATTAAGCATTTGTTAGTTTAAATCAGGATAGGGAAACTGTGGACTTCCAGATGTTGATGGTCAGATAGCTCAGATGGTAGAGCGTGAGACTCTTAATCTTAGAGTTGTGGGTTCAAGCCCCACGTTGGGCAAAAGAGTCCTGCGTTGCAAGAGGTTGGACAAGATGACCCTTCCATCTCTACAATTTTATGATTCCATTAGCCCCAGCCAGCACTGCTAGTAATCAGAGATGGTTGGAGTCAACAGCAGCTATCTGTTTTATCTAGTCTGAGTCTTGTGTCCAGGCAGATGTTTTCAGAAAATTCAGAAGAACTGTGTGTAGGTTACTGCTTTTTTGCTGTTCACCCTCTAGCAGCTTGTATGCAGAGGTATAATCCCTTTGAACATAAAGATGTCCAAAGCTATCATTACTAATCACTGCATGTTAATTTTGGGGTTGTAATTTTTTTTTTTTTTTTGTAATGTGCACATGAAAAAGAAATTAAATTAAAAATTAAAATGCATGATGGAATTAAGCATTTCCCCACATGCATACTCTCTAGCTGAGCTGGGATATTTAGAAACAAAGTTAATACTGATCTCAGTAGTTCTGTTTGGCTCAAAAACATATGTCACCACTGAAAAAATCAAAATGCTCATACATTTTGAACATGGTTGACTGCAGGTAGTCAGATAATCACTAAAGAATCATGTAAGTAAGATAGGTCAGTTAAGGAGACTAGTTGTCTTGTTTTGAATCATGCATCCAAATATACTTACAACCAATTAATTAATTGGCTTCACTTTTTCTTTCCTTTGGTGCTCAGCATTTGGTCAGAATGAGTGTCATGATCCAGGAATCCCCATAAATGGAAAGCGCTTTGGAGACAGATTCCTTCTAGGAAGTTCTGTTTCTTTTCATTGCGACGATGGCTTTGTGAAAACCCAAGGCTCAGAGACCATAACTTGTGTTATGCAGGATGGAAATGTTGTGTGGAGTTCAACTGTTCCGAGATGTGAAGGTAAGGATTTGACCGTGCTCTAGAATGCACATACTGATTTTCTTTAGATATTATGTATACTGTTTATATTAAGGCAATAAAGACAGCAATAAAATAAAAAATCAAAGACTCAGTATAAAACTCAGAGAGAGAAAGAGAGAGAGAAATGACAGGCATCCACCAAGAGGGGGACACAATATCTTTACTCTAGAATTGTTTCAGATCTTAGTATTTGAGCAAGAAAACCATAATATTAAATGTAAGCAATTGGTATGTTATTTGTTGTTTGCTGCATGGTGATCAGTAGCTGATGGAAATCCCTGGAATATCTAGACTTATCTGCTTGGCATAGAAATGTTTGGGCCATTGTACTTGGAAAAAACTGAGCACAACATTGACTTCCCACAAGAAGAACCACAGCCCTCCTTTGTCATCCATAGGAGCATCAATGACAATATGTGGAGTTAGAGAATATTAATTACTGTTGATGTGTGTGCGCATGCATACACAAATGTTAAAGGCAGCAATGCTTTAGTTTTCTATAGACTCTCACAAATTGTATCTAGAGATAAAAGTGGGTTAGGCTGCAATCATAATGATGCTTGTCTTGTTGAATACAGTTCTGAGTAAGCATGCATAGGATCGCTATTTTAATAAATGACTTGATATACAGCAGGGACAACAAAAATGGTGCCCTCCAGATGTTGGACATGCACCAGTCCCAGCCAGCATGTGTAGTTGTCAGGAATGGTGGGACTTGGCGCCCAACAACATCTGAAGGGCTCAACATTGGCTAACCTTGACATGCAGCTAAGATGTAGGTTCATGTCCAGAGGATTCTGTGATTATTTGGCTGATTTAAGTCATGAAATCAAAAGCAACACTGGGAAATTTTGCCTTTCGCCTCCCAACTATACAACCTCTCCTCTTCTGCTAGTTGGCATGCTGAATATGGGTGGCAATTAACAAATAGATTGAGTGGCCTAACATCTGCTTTTGAATATTCTCCATGTTAATAAATCTAACTTTAACAGATTTCATCTAGTGTGAACTGTAATAGGATTTGGGTGCTCTTTTACTTACACCAGCTGGTGTATCTGCCTACGAGCTTACATGCAGTGCATTTAACATGAAATAGGAATATTTATGAAGCAATGGCCTACTTCAGTGAGAGAAATAGCAATGCCACCCAGCCTGTTAAAAAATGATCACTCAAGAAGACTGGTTTAGAAGCCACAGGATTTACATAAAATGCATTTTGTGTTGGATTATATAAATTTCATTGTATGATTTCATAATTTCTTTGTTATATGTTAAATTTTTATCCCTCCTTTCCACAAAACCAAAATTTTCAGGTTAGGCTGGAAGATTGATTGGCTTAAGGTCGCCCAGTAGATTTCATGCCTGAGTAGGGATTTGAGCATAAATATTCCTGGTATAAGTCTAACATTCATTATACCACACTTGCACACACTCAGCTGCTATGCAGACAACTAAGGTCACATCTGCTTGGCTACCTCACATGGCTACCTCAAAGAATCCTGTGAACCTGTAGTTTGTTAAGGCTGCTGGGAATAGCTCTTTGAGGAGTAAACTATACTTCCCAGGATTCTTTGGGGGAAGCCATGTGCTTTAAATATAAGGTGTGCTTATGACCTAATTGTTTTAAGACTCTGTGCTGGTATCCCAGCCAATATTGTATTGGTGCTGCTAGGCCAACAGCTGCCATTTATATTAGATGTGCAATAATAGAACAACATTTTGCCTTCATTATGGTACAGAGAAGGGATGCGGGTGGCGCTGTGAGTAAAACCTCAGCACCTAGGACTTGCCGATCGCATGGTCGGCGGTTCAAATCCCCGCGGCGGGGTAAGCTCCTGTCGTTCAGTCCCAGCTCCTGCCCACCTAGCAGTTCGAAAGCACCCTTAAAAGTGCAAGTAGATAAATAGGTACCGCTTTATAGCGGGAAGGTAAACAGCGTTTCCATGTGCTGCGCTGGTGCTGGCTCGCCAGAGCAGCTTCATCACGCTGGCCACGTGACCCGGAAGTGTCTTCGGACGGCGCCGGCTCCCGGCCTCTAGAGTGAGATGAGCGCACAACCCTAGAGTCTGTCAAGACTGGCCCGTACGGGCAGGCGTACCTTTACCTTTACCCTTTATGGTACAGAGAGGGCGGGGGAGAGACAGGGCTTCCCAGGGCACAACAAATTTATAGCACCAGGCAGCTTAGCCAATATATGGAGCAAGTGAATCGGTGCAACCACAAGCAGGAATATGGAGTGGTTAAGTGAAAGTACAGAGCGTCAGAATTAACACTTAAGAGTGCCTTGTGTGTTCAACACTGAGGGATATTCTGCACTTTCTGGTTGTGATAAGGCATGCTGGAAGTTGCAGTTGAGCAATTTGATGCAATGTGATTTATAGCATTTCTCAGTTGGGATTACCAATTTGATTGTATCTTTCTGTTTCTCTTCCAGCACCTTGCGGTGGCCACCTGACAGCATCTAGTGGCGTTATCTTGCCACCAGGATGGCCAGGTTACTACAAAGACTCGTTAAACTGTGAATGGGTAATCGAGGCAAAGCAAGGGCACTCTATAAAGATCACATTTGATAAGTGAGTATCTGAAAAACAGATCCGCAGCTGAATGTTGCAATTGTTTGAAATGGTAACAGTGTAGATGCTGTTGAATTACAACACACATCATGTCTGACCATTGGCCAGGCTGGCTGGGGCTGATGGGAATTAGAGTCCAACAACCTTGCCCAGCTGTCTCTTACTACCCATTCCACCATGTTGCATCCAAAAGAAAGATGAGACAAGGCCTGGGACCAATTACCATGTGATTCCTGCACTCCCAGAATTAGCAGCCACTCCATCTGGCTGCAGCAGAAATGAAATCGTAAGGCCTGGTTGGGCTGACTGCAGTTTGGTTCCACGCTCTCCTTCAGTGGCCACTCAGTTTGGTCGCCTTAACAGTTGTCTAACATTACGTAATGATTGGTACCATTCCTGACCTTGCCTTATCTTTCTCACTTCCCTTTCTATCCCTTTCCCCCTTTTTAGGTCTATCAGATTATATGTAACTAATTGAAAATTCTAAACTGCCTTGTGTGTAGTCATAGAAAGGTGGTATAAAAATACCTCATAAACATCTAGACGGCCACAGCTTCCCCATCCCTCTTT